ACCGAATAGAATTTCAAATATGACTCAAAGAAAGTAAAAACGTTCTTAGGTAGAAAATTTCCTAATAGGCAATAGAATAGAACATGATTCATGGAGAGCAATTCAAGATAAAAATGCACATATGAATCATTCAAGCAAAAGAAACTAGATCCATCAAATTTAAGACAAGAAAATAGATCTAGGAAGGAATCAACTCTAAAGTGACATGAACAAAAAGATGAACACAAGATGAACACAATTATCCACAGATCACACCACAAAAGATAAGGATCAAGACTTATCTCTTGAAACAATATGATGTGCTTCCACTTGGATGCACATGGATTCTTCACACCTTCACGGAATTCCTTGGATGATTCTTCAAGGAATTGAGACGCCTCAAAGGTGCAAGGTGACCTAAGCTTGCATTCAAGCTAAGTCCAAAGAAGATAAGGTGTCCTAGCTCTACAAGGAGAAGCTCTCAAGTAGGGTAGAAGCTAGGAGAAAGGTGACTTCGGAGAAGGAGAATTCTATGAGAGAAAATCTCATTCAATATTAACCAAAGTGATACAAAACTCGGTCATATGAAGATTTATAGTATAAATTAGGTTAAGGGTTTAAGTTGGGTTTACCTAGAGTTAAGTAAAACCATGGTATGGTTAACTTAACTCTAGGCGCCAAAATTTGAATTCTAAAATTCAAATTTTGGTGCCAACCGGCCACCCCCTCCATGTGCACTCATTTGGATGTGATTAGTATCCATTTGAGTTGCATTTCGGTCACACCATGTGCATGTGTGCACATGGCCGAAATGCACCTTCAAATGTCATCTAATGACATTCAAATGAAAGTGAACATGTTAACCTAAATTAACCCTAAATCTAAATGACCATGAAATGAAATTTCTATGCTACATGGCCGGAAATACAAGGCCAAAACAAATACAAGGCACTAAGGCCCAATCCTACACTAACCCTAATCTAATGGGCTTGAGACAAAGCCCAACAAAACAAAGTGGCGGGCCTTCCTTGGGCTTGGGCCCACTCTTCATGCATCATCCTTGCCATAGTCCTAGTAGTTGGGCCCTTATCCCATGGGCCTCCTCCATCACAATATTTTTATGAAAATAAATGATTAACATATTCAAATAGCTGGCATCATGAAGGATAGTATATAAAGAGGCACGTTCTTATCGGGTGGTAGGAGCTTTAAGTTTCACTGAATTGTTTTGTTGACATATCCAATAATTGGATATCATATTCAAATACTCTCAATTTTGTATTCGAATAAAATACCTCATGCATTCAAATACAACAATGAAGTACTCTGTTCAAATGAAATGAATTATATTTGAATAAAAAAAATTAAAAAGTTAACCTCTTTCAAATTTTCACTTGATTTTGCAAAGAAATCTATAGAAGTGGGATTTACCTCGATTAATTTCCCATCTAATGAATTTTGTATTAAACAAATGAATAGAAATAGTTCTACTGAATTTTTTCTTTTCTCTCCACAGTCCACACTATTTTACAGTTATTTCTACGAAAACAAACACAACATTAAAGATAACCTGAGATCGACCCTAATCAGCAAAATCTAAGCATTGAATACAAGAGAAAAACTTATTTATTTAAATAATTCTAGACAATTATTTTTAGTTGAGTCAAGAGTATAACTCATTTCATTATATCAATCCCTATAAGATAAAATAGTACCAGCAATAAAGTCTGTATGTGTAAAGAGAGAATTGAATTTTAATCCTTAATTATGCATAAGATGTGAATTAAGCAACTTAAACAACAAAATTAATCCTATGCACAGCCTAAGCAAGATTGACTCGTGTTAAAAAATGACTATTGTTTCTTAAAAAAATAGTAAAATAAGACCAACAAATAATTATGAAAGTCAACCCATAATCACAAATAAAGTAATAGAAAGATTCTTTGTGGTTCTACCCTTCCAGATGCCTTCGCAAGGGATTTTTAAATAAAAAGTGACCGACAAGTCCGAAAGATAATATTTTTTTCTCAAGGCCTTGGTTGTTTAAGGCTAGTTAGTAGTACCTCCTATTCTAAGTGCTTCCCCTTTTTTTAGCAGTCTTTGTTTTCTGGTATATGGATGAAAATCAAGCATCAATTGACCTATAAAAGTTGTAACATCAAATATTCAATTGGCAATATCATATTAATTAAGCTCTTTTAATCAACACCAGTTTGTCTTTAAAGCTAAGATATTTTTTAAACAATCTATCCTATGAACAACTGCAGTGCCTTGAACATACTGCATAATTTTCAATCAATGTTGGATATAATAATTTATGTTTAGGACTTAAGTTTCGATCTGCACTGCTACTGGGTAATATGATGTTTTGATTCATTATTCATGTTACTAGGCTTCTTTTTTTATATATAATTGTTTACTTATCTTTTGGTCTGTTCAAATGGACTATCAGCATTTCAAAGTCAAAAGAAAGTCGGTGATCAAGGCTAAAGAAATCTCCAAGGATCGCAAAACACCACAAAGCCACACTAGCAATTTGGCAAACGTTTGTCTAATTGTTCTTTTGTAAGTGAGCAAGATTATGATCTTTGAAGTTTGAAGTGCTTGATCTCATATTAGACAGATTTATAAATCCCAACAAAAAAAATATTAAGGAGAAGTGTCAAGAAAATAGTGAAACATAAAATCCTTTTATTATATTTCTTCAAATGTGGTGTTAAACTCATTACAGGTGCAGATCATAATGGTTGAGCTGCAAATCATCAGTGATGTTGCTTCTTCCTCTAACTCTTCTTCTATGGTGTCTTCAAAAAAATATGAAGTTTTTCTAAGCTTTCGTGGTGAGGACACCCGCATGAACTTCACAAGCCATCTTCATGAAGCTTTGAAGAAAAAGGAAGTTGAAACCTTTATAGACTATGAGCTTAGAAAGGGAGATGAAATCTCACCGGCACTCATCCAAGCCATAGAAAATTCTCTTGTATCTATTGTCATCCTCTCACCAAACTATGCTTCCTCAAAGTGGTGTTTGGAAGAACTCAGCAAGATTTTAGAATGTAGGAAAAAACAAGGACAAATGGTGATATACCTGTATTTTACAATATAGATCCATCCCAAGTGAGGAAGCAAACCGGAAGCTATGAGCAAGCCTTTGCAAAATATAAAGGAGAATCCAATTACAACAAATGGAAAACTGCTCTCAACGAAATAGCCAATTTAGTTGGGTGGGAACCTCAAAATAGGTAAATAAAATGATTGATTTTTTTGAAAGAAAAAAAATAAGAAAGATAATGTGTTGTTTTAAATTGAGTTAACCAAATTTGGTTGTCAATACAACAAAAGTTTAAGGATGCTAATTAAAATTATGACACCAATTATATGATATCAATAAAAAAAATTGAAACGAACAGTGAAAGATATATAGCCTATTTAGATATAATCTAGAAAGATTTCTAAGAACTTCTCTACTAAAAATAAAGAATATCTTTCAATAAATAAGTTCTTAAAAACATTTATTGATTTGTATTCAAACATGCTCATAATTGTTTCCTTCTTTTGTGTATGACCGTGCTATGCAATTGTTGTTCTTCATAGAATTTCTTTGTCCACTATTGTGTTTAATTGTGAAGAGTTAAAAAATAATATTTTTTTCCTTTTAGTTGAATAAATGATAGAATGAGATAATTAATTAACAAAAATTTCTTTTACATTGTTTAAAAAAATTCTCCTCAACCGTTGGTCTCACCAGGTCTTCACTATGAAGAACAATATTCCCATAGTATATTATTATACATAGTGAACATGTAAACAATGATAATTTATTGTAATTTACTCATCTACTATGAAGTTCACTATTGAAAAATATTTCAAATATTTTCTCTTCAATAACCTAAAAATAAATTTAAATATTGATATCTTCATTAACCTGACTCTTTTATATCTTTTTTATGTCCTATCCATATATTGTTTGTATGTATTTGGAAACTTTTATATCTGTTATATGCATGAGAGCATGCGAATGTATAATAACAACTTCCATGGTAGTTTAAGTAAGTTGAATGTGTAGAAAAAACATAGATATTGTTTATCTTCTCTAAGTCATTGAATTTTTATTCCTCAATTACATCTTTTTCTCTATTATACTAACATATATTGATCTATGATTATGTATAATCATTTGTATAATTCCTTTTGTTTTCTATTGTACTTGTTAGGCTAATAACACAACATTTATTTCATTGTTCCTTTTTTCGTATGCTAGGACTGAACCAGAACTCCTTAAGGAAATTGTTGGAGAAGATTTGCGAAAATTGACTCCTAGTTACCGAAACCAACTTAAAGGTCTGGTAGGAATTGAGGACAGTTGTGAAGAAATTGAATCAGTACTGAAAATTGGGTCAACTGAAGTTATAACCATTGGAATATGGGGTATGGGTGGCATAGGAAAGACCACCCTAGCTACTACTTTGCATGCAAGATTGTCTCCTTGGTTTGAAGGTTGTTGTTTCCTAGAAAATGAAAGAGAAAATTCAAGCAGTCATAATGGACTTAAAGCTTTACGTAACAAACTTTTCGCCAAGTTGTTAGAGATCAAAAATCATTGTTTTGATCCGAATTTTGTGAGGCGTAAGCTTAAACATAAAAAGGTTTTCATTGTGTTGGATGATGTGGTCACCTTGCAACAATTAGAATATCTAATTGAAGATTATGATTTTTTGGGGACAGGAAGTAGAGTCATTGTTACAACTAGATATAAACAAATTTTTAGTCTAGTTGATGAAGTATATAATGTCAAGGAATTGAGTTCTGATCAATCTCTTCAACTTTTATGTTTGACTGTTTTTGGATAAAAACAACCTAAACATGGATATGAAGATCTTTCAAGAAGTGTAGTTTCCTATTGTAAAGGTATTCCTTTAGCTTTAAAAGTTCTGGGTGCAAGTCTTCGTCGAAGAAGTGAAGAGGTATGGGAAAGTGAATTGAGAAAGCTCCAAAAGATCCCAAATATGCAAATTCATAACATTTTAAAATTGAGTTATGATGGCTTAGATCGTTCTCAAAAGAACATTTTTTAGACATTGCATGCTTGCTAAAAGGAGAAAGAAGGGATTGGGTAACAAGTCTACTAGAAGCTTGTGGTTTCTTTGCAGTATCTGGGATAGAAGTCCTTTTGGACAAAGCTCTCATTAACAATTTCAAATTACAATGAGATAAAAATGCATGAATGATACAACAAATGGGTCAAGAAATTGTTCATCAAGAATCCATCAAAGATCTTGGAAGACAAAGTCGATTATGGAAACATGATGAAGTGTGTGAAGTATTGAAATATAACAAGGTAAGTGAAAAATTTAATGGTTTATTTATGTACTGTAGCTAGTATGATAGCCCAACCAATTATTATTTTTAATTTTTTTTAACAGGGAACTGATGATGTTGAAGGGATAATTTTAAATTTGGATGCATTAACTGAGGATCTGTGTTTGAGCTCTGATACCCTTGCAAAGATGGCTAATGTGAGATTTCTTAAAATTCATAAAGTGCGATACTGGGACGAGTACAAATTTAATTTGTACCTTCCTCATGGTCTCAAGTCATTGTCTAATAAATTGAGGTACCTTCGATGGGATGGATTTTGTCTCGAGTCTTTGTCATCTAACTTTTGTGCTGAACAACTTGTAGAGCTTCACATTTCTTTGAGCAAGGTTAAAAGGCTTTGGGATGGGGTTCAGGTAGGAATGTGACTACACTTGCTACATTTTTTTCTTAACATTGTGATGCATCTTTCTTGTTATAGGATCTTTCGAATTTAAAGACTATTCGCTTACATGACTTGCCAGAGCTGATTGAGATCCCAGACTTATCTATGGCAAGAAAACTTGAACATATTTCTCTTTTGGATTGTATAAGTTTGTGTGAGCTCCATCCATCCATCGTGTCTCTCCCTAACCTAAAAATTATGGGATTATTTCGATGTTCAAAGATTGAAATCCTTAAAGTTCATTCAAAATGTCTTCGTATACTTGTCGCCTATGATTGTTCATCCCTCAAGGAATTCTCAATTACATCAAAGGAAATGGTTTGTTTGAACTTACGTAAAACCACTATAAGTGCATTACCGTCATCAATTTGGAATAATGGGAAATTTAGTGATCTTCATCTAACAGTCTCAAACAATCTTGAAAGGTTATCAAAGGAAGGAGGAATGGGGTCGATTACAACACTAAACCATTCCGAGTGCATGAAGCACAATGCATGGAATATGCCATTCTCACAACCACTCCATCACAACTTTGGCAACTTATCGTTTTTAGAAACATTATGGCCATGGTTTTAAATTGCGGTTGTGGTCACGGTTGCGGTCGCGGTTGCAGTTACTGCGGTCGCGGGTATTGCGGGTATTGCAATGCGGATTGCGGCTATTGCGGTGTGAAATTATTAATTATTTTCACTAAATATAAAAAATTTATAATTATCAATATATATTTTATTTTTAAGGATTTATACATTTTAATTCTTTTTTTTAAATATTCTATTATTTTAATAAATAATTTAATTTATTTTAAAATTATAGTATCAATTTATCGTATTGCGAATGTATTGCGGTGCATTGCAGATGTGTTGCGAACGCAACACCGTTACGTTGCGGAAAAATGTGTGATTTCCAGTATCATCGCAATTGCGGTCCGATGCCGTTGCGGACAAGGCCGCAACAGCAATATTGCGGCCGCAACAGGTGTTGCGGTCCGCAATTTAAAACCATGATTATGGCTAACTGGAATTAATGATGTGAGCTTGATTGCCAACATCCAAAACCTTTCATTGTTGAAATTACTTTACCTGCTAAATTGTCAGAAATTTGTGTCTTTGCCACAGCTTCCACCATCACTGAGAGAGCTTCATTTAAGTGATTTAAGGGAACTCGTGTCTCTGCCACAGCTTCCATCATCACTAAGAGTGCTTCATTTAAGTGATTTAAGGGAACTCGTGTCTCTGCCACAGCTTCCATCATCACTAAGAGAGCTTCATTTAAGTGATTTAAGGGAACTCGTGTCTCTGCCACAGCTTCCATCATCACTAAGAGTGCTTCATTTAAGTGATTTAAGGGAACTCGTGTCTCTGCCACAGCTTCCATCATCACTAAGAGTGCTTCATTTAAGTTATTTAAAGGAACTCATGTCCCTGCCACAGCTTCCACCATCCGTGACATATGTGAGAGCCATTAATTGCACTTTTCTAGGGACAGATTTCACTCAACGGATAGAATTACAACACATGTTGAGTCACTCACTGAGTATTGACTGTGAAACATGTTTCATGTTCTCAGGAGACCATGTGACCGACAAGTGTAAGTTTCAAAAAGCAGGGACTTCAATAACTATTCCTTACCTCCCACCGTCGAACTTGTGTGGTTTCATTTGTTCCCTTGTTCTTTACAGGGGATCATACGGTGGTTTTGTTTCGTGTTCCATCTATCAAGATGACGAAGAGGACTTCGACTACTATTACTCAGTCCCCAAAAATCTAACTTCAGATCACATTTTATTTCAGTATTTTAAACCAGAAGATCTTTCCAATGACGTACCATTTAAATTTGAATTTCATTTCTATGACCGGGATAGTGATAAAGATTATGGTCAAGAGAGAATAAAAGAGTGTGGAGTCTTCCCGGTGTATGCCCCAAGCATAGAAATTGGAGTTGGAGCATCTAATGGAATCCATTTCTCAAATCAATAATAATGAGTCACAGCCTAATGAAAATGGAGATGCAATTAGAGTTGGAGTTGGAGGCTCTAATAATGAAAATGGATTGGAATCTATAGCTTAAATCATTCCGATCTTATACCTCTGCTAGAAATTACAGAGCCTAGAACACTCACCTCATATAATCAAAAATCACACGTAGATAAGTAGCATAAAATTGTCTAGTATATATCCTCATCCTCAACTCCAATTAGATGATATCACATCTTAAGGTTAATCTTACTAAACACACAAACACCCACTAATTGATATATAAGGTCATCTATCCTCATATCAACATACATGCATATCAAATCATATTAGAACACCTATTTTAAACATTCATATATATCATCCCTAAGCATGTACGAATCAATCATCGTTTACTCCATATAGCATGTACATGAACCAACCTTACCACATAGCATCATACAACCTTAAACAACTTCTCAATCTACATGAAAATACCTCAGAACATCATAACCAAATCAATTCTTATCCTTGCATTGCCTAACAGTTCCAAAAACATTATAAAAGCATACATCTCTCTTCAAAAACTATGAAAGAAAATGATGCACATAGAGTTATACTCATCCAATTGATCTCAAACCTATCTAAAAAAAAGCTAAGAGAATAAGCCAAAACTCTTACGAAGACATAAGATTCCAAAAAGATCATCTTCTGAGCTAAAAATTCAAAAACACAAATATATTCAGCACTTACAACTAGACATCTGTTTTACCTGATTCCAGTTCCATTGGAAAGATAACGTCCAAGGCTACAACCTTTGTGAAGACCATCAAATCTAAATCTGTCAATAGAAAACTCGTGCGGGCACAACAAAAATGCAGCAAACATCCCTTACACTAGACAACAATAGTGTATCAACCTCTAAAGCCACAAAAATACTTTATCCTTTCAAACTCACTCCTTTCCTCCTTAAACTCATATCCGAGCTTCCCACTACAATTCTACACCAAAAAAATTCACATATTTCACACAAAAGACTTAGAGCTGAAATAAAATCCTCATGCAACCTAACTCCTAACAAGGTTAATATGCAAGCATCAAAACTTAAGGAAATTAACACTTCGACCTTTCATCAAGAACAGGCAAAACTCCAATGCTCAACACATAATCTCTTGGATTCAATCATTACAACTATAGATTCCAAAAACTCCATCAACCATAAACTCTCAATACACTCGACAAATCAATGTCTCACCCAAATCTAAGGTCCCAATAGTTTCTAGTTGATTAGCACAATATCTTGTCTACTACTATTCACACATATGCTTGCAACACAAATGATATCACTCATCCATTACTTCTTACATAAGCAATAAATATCAAACAATTAAGCACTCATAAGAATGAAGAAGAACCGTCATAATGATATTAGCTAAAACTATCTATCATTCCTCTAATTACAATATAATCTAACAGTATAAAAAACTCAACAATATCAACACAAGGAGAACATCATCATCATCATTATCAAAGAAAAGCATCATCAACTTACACAACAAAAAAAACATTGTCAGAGTACATAATAAAATCATGATAAGTACATAACTCATGGTCGATTGGATCGACCTGCTCTGATACCACTAAATGTGACACCCTCTACCCTAATATAAATATATAATAATTAAAAGAAATATCTTATTGGGTTAAACAAAATTCCAATAACATGAGAGTAGAGAATTCACATTCATAAACTTAAAACATGATCAAATGCGAAAAAAATGAAACATGAGTTCTTCTAAAACAAAATACAATAACGAAGTCCTAATTATGCCTAGCTATGCCCCAATGTCACATATCCTATCAGAGCATGCCCAACTGAAGTCTAAGCCTCATCACCAACATCTTCATGCTGATGATCGCCTGCAACACAATGTAGACCCCTAAAATTGTCCGGGTCGGAAATAAAACTCGAAGTTTAGGGTTTTTTTAGTAGCCCAGAACGAGTTGTTCTCAAATTGGAACGGGCCGTTCCAAGCTATTCAAAAGTTTATTTTTAGTAGCCTAGAACGGGCCATTCCCAAACTAGAACGGGCCATTCCAGACTACCAGAAT